GTAATATTTGGGGTCACAAGTTTTTGCCATGGATATTTTGTGGGTCAGAAGAAAAAAAGTTTGGGAACCACTGCACTAGTAGACAACTTAAACAAAGGTTTTGATTTTGAAAAAAAATGTTTCCAAGTGCTTCCTCTTGCATAAAATCAAATACTTCCTGCTCCTTCCGGCTGAAGACATGGAAGATGCAAATCATCTTGGAAAGAGGTCAATTTCATAAAATTTCTTATGATTTTTACCCAGACATTAATCTTTCAAGTCTCTATAATAACCCTCACCACAAAAATTGTACCTAGAATAAATATTTTTTTTGTTATTTGGCTTATTTCTGTAAGCGGCAACAAAAGTTGGCAATGGGCAAATAGCTTGTCGCTAACTAAAGGAAAACACTGTCTGCAGGATTGTGTCTAATTTACTTATTTCAAATTGCAGAATAATGTACAATGTCTTATTTTAGCCTTCTTAGGATACTCTTCCTAGCTAAATAAATCCGTAGGTATTCAAGGCCTGTGTGTATAGCTTGTAAAAGATAGCACACAATCTGATACAGCTATTTTTATGGGGACCTGGCATTGACATACATTATTTTCTACAGCCTAACCCTGACTGCCAACCCTAAGGCTAACCCCACAGGTAACCTACCTGACCCTAAAACTAACCTAAACTCAATTCACACCCTGGCCATAAACGTAAACCCGACCCACCAGCGATGTTTCCCCTAATGGGGACAAGATTCAGGTCCCATACCAGTCAGAGCCCCATATGTAACATTAGGTCCCCACAAGTACGTGTGTATGCCAAAAAACTGTTCCACAACATAGGGAATACCAGGCCACAAATAAATCCCCATTCACCTCTGGTATGTTATTTATGTAAGTATTTTTCATAAAATAATAGGTCCAAATAAAAAAAATCTATCATGTATGTGTTTTTTTTTCATTAGGCAGGTCCTACACTGCAGCAGAGGTCCTGGCCATGCTGCAGGACGCTGCAGGACTCAGGAAACTGTGGCAGATGCACATCATTTGTGTGTGAAAAGTATGATGTGCCACTACATGTGGAGTGCTTCAAGAAGTACCACACTGAGTAGAACATGCATGAAAGAAAGATTTTATGGGATGAAGTATATACATATATGTGTTATTAGAGGTTCTAAGAAAAAAGTTTTGAGTATAAAAAATTGGGAATAAAAAAAAACAGTTCAAATTGTTTGGAATTTTAAATAGGAGGAACCTGAGGCTCCACCTTTTTGTTATTATTTATTCTGACCACATTATTATTTTATTACCATTAGTTCTCTATTATGAACAGGTGACACTGGACCTAGTGACAAGCTGTGTGCCCACTGGCAACAATTCTTGCCGGTCTTATAAAAACAATTTTTTGTTCAAAACAAAGTACAAAATGGTGAAAATAATTACATAATATAATTCAGAGGGACTCAACTGATGAAATGATATGCCTTACAACTCTGAAAAAAATTGGGCACAAGTGGATTAAGTGCAACAGCTTTGCAAGCTACTTTATTTATTTATTTATTTTAAGGGAGAAGTGACAGTCGCAGCCTAGGTACGTCACTATGCTACATATTGGTTGTAGTCTATTGTCATAACCAAGTGTTACCTTATTAAAAAGTAGGTACTGTGGCAATTCCCAGAAACAAACAAAAAAAAAAAACACAGGAAACAGAACTTGGCACAGTAATGATTTAGTAAAAAAATAACTTTTTTAATAGTTGAATATTTTCATTTGATAACAGCGATCCCTTGCATAAATAAGAAACAAAAGGAACATAAACCCAACAAACAGCAACAGTTTGTGCACACTTGCCAACTGAATTAGGATCTAAGCTCATTACTTTTGTTATGGACGGAACCCCCACCCCCATGACCCCCTCCTGTTTACAGTGAACAACRCTGTTTCATTTTTTCTGAAAGAAAATCTGATTCTGCACACGACATATTGGATAAACTCCCACCTTCTGAGCGTTCAGGAGTTTGCAGCGTGTCTCAGCTGCTGTTTGTGATGCGGCTCAGACAGGAAGTGGTCTTCACGTCTCGTCCAGTCCATCGTCTGCTGTCAGAACTTACAGAAAAGTTCTTCTCCAGATAAATGAAGAACCGCTGGGACATTGTTCTGTCCTAAATGTTACCCTAAGACCACTTCATATTTTTGGAGGACGTTTTTGTTTTAGCGAGACGCACATCACGGCTCTCCTTTTTTTTTTTTTTTTTCTTCTCTCCCTCTCTGTGTGTCGGGAGTGGAGCTCAGAGCTCACCCTGCGTGCCTGTTAGCAGGTAACAGCAGGTACAGGAGGCGACAGCAGTCAAAATACCTCAGAAACTCGCCCACATAAGCGAACTCTGTGAGATTCAGTGTTTTATACTGTATTACTTTGGTTAATTCTGCGATTCCGTCTGTGCTTTCTTTAGCTACTTATGAACGGAAGTGGAGCAGGAGAAGGTGGATTCTGATTGGCTGTTGTCGCGCACATTTCCGCCATGTTTGATCGAGGAAGAGGCTCACAGCTGATCACCATGATCGACCTGAATTTTTTCTCAATCAATAATCGCGATCAATTAATCGCAAAGCCCTACTTTGATATAGGGTGTTGATCTTTTTAGGCCCCACCCTTCCTCATTACACAAATACACATCAGCTGATATGCTTTTATCCAATAAGCATTCAAGTTTATACAGCTTGGATTTGGAAAATATGCTTAAAAATGATGATATGGTCAAAACTATAACTTGCCAAATAATTGTGCACACAGTGTAAAGGTTTAGTTTAGAAACTGGATTGGAGTCCTTCGTGATTGAATACTGAACTCACCTTTTCAGGGGGTTTCTTTCATTTGTGCAGGACCCGAGTGTGGACAGCGCTTTGCTGCCTCCAGGAGCGTATGTCAAAGTCTCAGGAAATCTGCGCTCTTTCCAGGTTGGTTCAGCTGTCCTCCCCTTTTTGGTGTGAAAAAATGTCACCGTTGTTTCCCATAACTGTTTACTTGATGCAGTTCTTGAAATTCATCCATGTGGAAACTGAAAGTTTGTTTGACTTCCTGTCCTAGAACCACAGATCTATTGTGGCTTTCAGCGTCCGGCCTCTGGAGGACATGAATGAAATCACCTCACACATGTTGGAGGTTGTCCAGGCCCACATGGACCTCTCAAAACCTCAAAGCACGGTGAGAAATTTTTTAGCTTACGTTTGTGCAAGCCTTATCTTTACTTAAAACATGAGAATAAGGAAGTAACTGTGCGTTTTAGCTCCTACTGCTACATTTTGATTTCCTCTTTTATGAAAATACCCAGAAACCTAACCAAGCGTCAGATTTCTGTTACCTCTTCTGTGCAGCAGCACCACTTTTAGACTTTCTTGAAAGCAAAAAGTACAAATTGTCTGCAGTCATGCAGTGCAGAGGAAACGGCCTTTGAAGCCACTCAGTTTAACCAGGATATGAGTGTTTTTTACTTAACTAAAAAATGCTAAAACATTCAAAATACATTCATTTTTTTTTCTATTCCTCTTAATTTAATATATTTCCAAAAAGTCAGCAATTCTACTGCACAATTACTTTGTTTATTTGGGATTTTTAAGTGAAATCCTTTTCTAWATGGAGCAACTTGTCTTTGTTTGGAGAATGTATGAAATTTTCATTCTTCAGCATGATGTTGCTTCATGTCTCAACCTCCAGAATTTGGTTAACCATAATTACATTTGTTTGTTGAAAAACAAGGAAAAAAGGGAGTAAAATTTCACAGTTAATGTCACCTTTTTTCTGTGTACTTTAGCAATACATCAGAGGTGTGTGATATTTGTCCGGCACTAAACTGAAGATCGTGTTTAATTTAGCTCTGAGGCTTGCTCTATAAAGTAGGTCCACCTAAGTTGTACAGGGTTTCTTCAGACGCTCTGGTTTATCGAACCGCACACTTAAGGTTATACTTCCTCTGTAAGTTGAGACAACTTTCCCATCACTGCGTTAATGTAAAGCAGGTGAAACAGCGTTCAAATGACTAATCACAGCCTTAAAGAAAAAAGTAACTTAAAATAAAACGGTTGATAATTGTATGAATCACTGGGCCTGCCACAATAATACATTTTGCTGGACGATAAGTTGTCTCAGAAATTATTGTGATAAATGGCAACAACAGCTGCTGAAGCTGTAAAACCACTTCCCACCTCCTCTATCCAAGCCGTCACAACTTATTCGCTTTGTGTCTTCCTCTGGATTCATAAAATAATTGTGGTCATCCGCACGCTGCTTTACGAAATGTATGTAGTGTAAAAAAAAAAACAAAGTTCAGCACGATCCCCTAGCTTCCTGAAGTGTCACAAACTGAAAGAAGGCATTGAAAAAGCAAAGACGCCCCTCTAGCTAAATGCCTGTACAATGTGGCGCTCATGCTACAGAGTTTATAAGACTCTGCGCTCCTCCCTGCGCTAAAGAGTAGAACAGAGGGAGATGAGAAGAAAACAAACAAGCATGCAAATTAAAATTATTGGCCTCATTTTAATTTATCATRCGATTAATTGATTTATTGCTTATCGCATCAGACCTATGAATCATTGGGCTTATTAAAGCACAAAAGGATGTGACTTTGGCCTTGCGGGTACGTTTTTACCCAAGAGCARAAGGAAGGGTTAAAATATTGTGTTGCTCGTTGGTGAGTCAAACAACCTAATTTAGTCAAATGACTGATGTGGATGTACAAAAATACACACATGGTATGATGCAGCTTGGCACAAATAATACACTCACAGCCTCCATCGTTACAAATAGAAAACCACATTTTCCTTGTCGCGTACAAAATTAAATCTGATAAATTAGTTTTAGTTCCCAAAACTTTAATTTACAATTAACGGTAATAAGCTTTAATCACTTTTTTATATTATTATTATTTTAGGCCACATAAGCCTGTTGAAAAATCTTGACTTTATGTTTTGTTATTAGGAACATTGTCAGTTTGCAATTTAGAATTTCTTTTAATTCCTGTGATTAAAAAAAAAACAACTTTTGTTGACACAATTTTTTTTCCTCTTTCAGACAGTTGCTGTTGGAGGAACGAGCAGTAACCAATCACCCATGTCTCGTTCCACCTCAGCTGTAACAGCAGGGAACAATCCCAGTGCGATATTTAATGGGTTAAGTGCAACCCAGAATCAAGTAAGTCCAGATAAGTTACAAAGCAACTGCACTCTAAAATTTCCACCTCCATGTTGTAACTTCTTTTCTATAAGTATCAGTTGTAATAAATTAATCGGAGAAAAAGTTTTTTGTTTTGTTTTGTTTTTTGCTGAAAGTAGTGTTCGTATTTGATAAGTTGGTTGATTTATGTTTCTCTAGGTGCTGAGTTTGATAAGAAGCTGCCTGGACCCACAGGGTATCAGCATTCAGGAAATAAAGCAGAGATTCGGTGGCATCAGTCTTACTGTAATCAAGTAAGAGACATTCTGATTTATGTTTTGTAAAATACCAAATCATTGTAGATGTTACCATGTACTTTTCTGGTGAAACTAAATGCAGAATCATCTTCAATAACTGAAACGAGAAGCGTCTTTTTAACATATCATGCTTTGTCACATGGGAGTTTTATCAGTTTGAAAAAAGCTGTTAGCAAAATAGGAAGGTAACACAACTACAGTTTTGGGATGATTTGAAAAATCTAACTAGAGAAATTGCATTTCCTGTGAAAATGCAAGTATGAATGCCTCTTGCTGAAAAAGTAAGCTGAAAGCTGCTGAAGAAGCTGAAATTGAGCTGAACATGTTTAATAGCAAAAGTACAAGAGTAAGTTGCACTTGAAAAGCTGAAAAAAGCAAAATAAAAGCAGAAAACACTAAAAAGGAGCAAAATGTAACTGAAATAGCATAAAAAGCTAAAGGCTAAAATAGCTGAACATAGCAGAAAGCAACCGTAAGAAGCATAAATACCTCAAATTAATAGAAAGAAGCACAAAAAAGTAAAAAAAGAATAGTAGAAGGAAGAAGAATTTTAGCTGAAATATCTGAAAAAAGCTAAAACTAGCAAAAAAGTAGCTAAAATATTCACAAAGACTTTAAAAGGGGCAAAACCAAAATATAATATGTAAGGTTCTGTAAAGATTTAGAAACATTATGAGCAAATTTCAGGATGTTGAAAAAAGCTCCATTCATTTCCAATGGGAAAAAGTAGCCGAAATAGCTTTGGCTACAAATGTTGAATTTTCTTGAGGCTTCAATATGTTATAGAGCATGCTCTCAGGTACCAGTACATAAGTTTTCATATCAATATCTCAAACACTGGCTGAGCAAAATGCCTTTAAAATAGCTCTGGCTGCCATCTTGGATTTTTATTTTGTCTGCAATTTATGATAGAGCTAAGTCTCAGCTACCAATATATTCATTTTTAGCTCAATATACTAAAAATTGACCAAAATCAAGTAATTTGAAGTAATTTTAGCTAATATCAGCTAAACATTATTTAAAATTGCAGCAAATAGCTGAATATTGCATAATGCAACTAAGAAGCATAAACAGCTCAAATCAGCAGAAAAACGTATAACAAAGCAGAAAAGCACAGAAGAATAATGGAAAGAAGTAAAATTTTAGCTGATATAGCAGCAAAAAGCTAAAGTTAGCGTAAAAAAGCTAAAGGTAGCAGAGTCAAGTTGAAAGTTGCACCCAGATGGTGAAATGGATGTAAAAAATTCAAAATTTGCAGAAAAAAACCCCATAAAACTACTAAAAAGTGATCATTTGAAGTAAAACACAAAAAACAGCTGAAGATTTCAGTAAAGCAGCTAAAAAGTAGCTGGAAACATTTTAATTAGCATAAGGATGCATAAAGAGCATATGTTTGCTGAATTTAGCAGAAATAAATTAAAAAAGCTCAAAAAAGTATAATTAGCCTATAAAGCTAACTTTGGCTAATAACAGCTAAAATTTAGCTAAATTTGTGGAAAATAGCTGAATGTAGCAGAAAGCACAAATTAGCAAAAAAAAGTATAACACAACAGAAAAAAGCAGAATAGCAGAAAGAAGTAGATTTGTATCTAATATAGCAGCAAAACAGCTAAAGTTAGCATAAAAATAAGCTAAAGGTGGTAGAATCAGGTTGAGAGTAGCACCCGGATGGTGAAATGTTTGGAAAAAATTCAAAATTAGCTGGAAAACCCCCATAAAACTACTAAAAAGTGATCATTTGAAGTAAAGCAGGAAAAACAGCTGAATTTTTCAGTAAAACGGCTAAAAAGTAGCTGGAAACATTTTAATTATCTTAAGGATGCATAAGGATGCACAAGTTTGCCGAATTTAGCAGAAATAAGTTGAAATGGCTCCAAAAAATGTGTAATTAGCTTAGAAAGCTAACTTTGGCTAATAACAGCTAAAATTTAGCTAAATTTGTAACAAATAGCTGAATAAAGCAGAAAGCAACTGTAAGAAGCATAAATAGTACAAAGTAGCAGAAAAAAGCACAAATAAAGCAGAAGGATAGCAAAAATAATCAGAACTATAGCTGAAATGGCAGAAAACAGCTAAAGTTAGCAAAAAAGTAGCTAAAATTAGCATAAGAAATTTAAAGGAAGCATAACCAGAGCAAAATATTTGAAAAGCAATGAAGATTTATAAACAATTTGAAAAGTTTTAAGCAGTTGAAACATAGCCCCATTCAAAGTCAATGGGAAAAAAGTAGCTAAACAGTGATATAGCTAAAAAAGTATAAATAGCTGAAATACCATGAGATATAGCCGGAATGGCTGGAAGGAGCTGAACGTTTTGATATATGAATTGTTAAAATAGCACAAAATTTGTAGGAGGAGATAGGGGCCAAAAAACGTGTGGAAGAAAAAAATGATCTCAGTAGTGTGAATGCTTGAGGCATTCTCACTATTCTGTAAAGTAATGGTGCGTTCACACCGAACGCGATTTCAGCTTCAAAATCGCAGCCAACGCTGAAGTCTGAAGCTTGTGCACTTTGAGGTCAGACGCAGGACAGCTGTTGAAGCGCCGCACGGCGACAGCCGCCCCGCCCCTCCCTCCTCTGTCGGGCTCCGTTTCATGTCGGACGAGGAAGTGGCTTTGCTTTAATTTACAGACAGCCAGAACGTGTCACGTTCATCAGATAATTAATTCATAATTAATTCACCAGATAATTCAGAGAAGAGGCTCACAGCTGCTTTCAGGACTATTTTTTTCAGTCTGATGAGTCGCTGTCACGCATTGCTGCGGATCAGGACACGACTGCAGCACTCATTTTAGCTAAAGAGCAGGAGCTCCATCTGTTTCAGGTTAGTGGACCTCATTCAGTAAACTGTCCCGTCGGGAAATATGTCGCTACGTCACACAGTGGAGTCTCTCTGATTGGTTGACGCTGCGCGTCGAGCTGCAAAAGTTCAGATTTTCTAACTTCAGCGATTTGGACGATTTGGACGATCTGAGCGTTCGACGCTCAGATCGTCCAAATCGTTCAAATCGCGCTGCTCTAATCGCGCTTGAGGCGCCGCAGAACTTCCCGACGTTGCTTGAAGCGCGTCCACCATAGACTTTGTATGTAAACCTGCTGCTCCTGACGCTGAAATCGCGTTTGGTGTGAACGCACCATAATTCACATATATCTATGTTTTGTACCATTTTTAGCATTTGTCTTACTGGACCAAGACTAGTTTTGGACCCAAACTTTCAAGAAAATTCACTAACTTTTGCTTGGATTTTCACCAAATTAGTACTTAAGACACATTTGCATATCATTCTCATGAAATTTCTGCAAAATCCATGCAGATTCATGGTGCACATTTTCATCACAAAGTCACCACATTTGCTGGACAATAATTAAATAGTGATATATAATGTGATAGAAAACGTTTGAATACCGATGAAATTGACATATATTGATAAATCGAAATACGTCCACGTGTGATGACGTACACCAAAGGCTCAACACCAGTGCACAACGTGACTCTGTTTTCACGACTCTAACAACAAACTAGCTGCATCACATTGGATATCTGCATGTATATCTATGTCAAAATGGGCTCAACAGCTGTGAGTGAACAAGCATCCCCAGTTGGGAAAATAAGCAGAAGACTGGAAATGGTTAAAATCTTTACCATTGCCAATTAAACCTAGTCTTCAAATTATGTAGCATAAAACAAACTGGTAATAAAAATAAAGTGAAAGTTAAACATTTGTTGATTTTAGTACATTTATTGAGTTTGGTTGTGTGTTTGTTTCAAAACGAAACTGCTAACTTTAGGCTTCAGTGGTTTAAACAAATATTTTGTTCACAGTTGTTTTTTCCCCTCGCACATAAAGCAAACACTTCTGTGAATTTTACTTTCTTGATTGCATTTAAATAAATTGCCGTAAAAATACCACTCACATTATTCCTCTCTTACAGGCAAGCAGTGGAATTCCTGAGCAATGAGGGTCACATCTTTTCCACCATCGATGAAGACCACTACAGATCAACAGACGGTGATGACTAGTCATTTGTAGCACCTGTAAGATTGCTTATTTGAATAAAAGATGACAAAATTATGAGTTCATAACTCAGCCAAGTCTAAATGTGTGACTTAAATGCTGAAGAACTCAATTAAATCTCATGAGTTCTTAACATTAAGATATTATGACCAGTGTTGAAAAACACAAGGTTCAGTGGGACTTCTGGTTTCTACATCCTGTGTTCACTAAGGTCACTTCTGTTATGAACATTTGTAAAGTTTCCTGCTTATGTTTTGCTAAAAATTAATTTCATAACTCTTTGTATTTCTCTTTGTCTCCTATAATTTTTTCTTCATATTTTTAAAAACTTGGATCAAATATACTTGGTTCTTTTTGTTTGTTTATGTAACTTGCTATCTTTTCAAAAATAAAAAAAATATTCTACACAGTTTCTCTTACCTGGAATTCTTTATTTTCTGCATATCCAAAAGGTAAAATAAAAAGAAAGTGCAGCAAGGATGTTTTTTTCCAAGTCACATGTACCACAAAAAAGCTTTTTAGTTTGCCAATGTTTTACATGTACAATATCTGCACCCTTCTACAGATACTCACTTTCTTTAGCTGTGACATTAAAACTATATATGATGCATTTAAAACTTTTTTTAGTTTGAATATACAGAATGAAACATGCATGTTAAAAAAGCTTTTGCTACCTCTTTAAAATAAAGTCGATTTTAAAACTGACAAGTTGTTTTTGTCAGAGTGTTAGTTTGGGTGTTACAGTTATATATCAATGTTTACACAGGTCCTCAAAAA